ACAACGAAAAACACAACAGAAGAAGAAGAAGAAGAAGAAGAATAAGAAGAAGAAGAAGAAGGAGGAGGAGGAGGAGGAGGAGGAGGAGGAGGGAAGGAGAAGGAAATAAATCAAACACTTTCAGGCCCAGGGAATGCCTTTCCTATCTATCTTTCTCTATTCAACTCCTCCATCTTGCCAGAGATAATTATTATCCTGACTCTTATGATAATCATGTCTTTGTAATTCTTTATAGTTTACCACCTTTGTTTATATCTCCAAATAAAATAGTTTGATTTCATTCATTTTAACTTTATCTAAATGGATTAATAAGCACATTCTTTTATGACTTGCTTCTTTCATTCAACATTATATTTGTGAAAATAATTTGTATTATAATGTTTAAGTCTCGTTTGTTCATTTTATTGTGTTCTATTTCATAGCACAAGTAACCCACAATTCATCCATCCTACTGGTGCTGGGTATTTCCAGTTTCAGGTTATTCCAAACACTGCTGCCAGAGCATTCTTGTAGATTCTCAAACCCTGGGACTTTTGGCAGGGTTTCTCTGAGTTCCAAACCTATGAGAGGAATTGCTGGGGCATTGGACAGCATATTGCCAGTGTCCTTAGAGGGTATAAAAAAGGTGTTGTACCAGTTTCCACTCCATAAGCCATGAGTGAGGGTTCTTACTGTGCCATATTCTTGTCAACATTTGGTATTTTCAGTCTATTTAATTTTAATCAATCTGGTGGGTGTGTAGTGACATCTCATTGTGTATGACTGTTTGTTTTCCTAGTTAACAATTCAGTTAGCCATATTTTACCTTACTATTGGGTATAAAACTTTTTTTCTAAAAAGTTTTGATCTTATGACTAATGCTATAATTAATAAATTCATAAGTAAATTTCAGGATTATTTCCTTGGCATAAATCCCTCCCCCCCCAAAAGAAATAGAGTCATTAAGATGAACCATGAACTATTATAAGGGTCTTAATGAATAATTGCCAAATGTTATATTTAAATCTCTTTCATTGATGTAGAAGAGTGCTATTTCACTCGCCAGTGTGTGGTTATAGATTTTTAAAAATGTTTTGTTAGCTTAGAAGTAAAAAAATGGTCTCTTTTTTAAAAATGTGAATTCATTTAACTATTAGATTTTAAACATTTTTTCTGTAATTATTAACAAGTGGTATTTCTTCTTTGGCTAAATGTCCAAATTTTTGTCCTTTTATACATTAAAGTTTTTCTGTTTTGTTTACATATATATGAGTCCTTCATTAAATTAAGATGTAATCCTGGGTTTTCATAATTGTTGTAAAATTTTAAACCAGTTTACTTGGACTTTCTTAAATATAATGATGCTAAAGAGGGAGAGAGAGAGAGAGAAACATCAATGTGAGAGCTTAGCATCGATGATGTGAGAGCTTAACATAGATCAGCTGTCACCTACAGGGATCAAACCTGCAATCCAATCATGTGCCCTGACCAGGAGTCAAACCAGCAACCCTTTGGTGCATGGGACAATATCCAACCAACTGACCCACACTGGCCAGGGCCAAACAAGTGTTTGTGTGTATTTTTTTTAAATAGTAGATTGTCCTACTCTTCTCAGAGGTTGCAAAACTATCCAGATTAATTAAAATTTAGTTTTATCATAGATTTTTTAAATGTTTAATATTGGACTCATCTGGAACTTATTTTGGTGTAAACATCAATTTAGGAAGAATTGACCGTCTTACAATATAAAGTCTTTCCAGCCAAAAACATATTCTGTTTCTCTAAAAGATTTTCTTTACATTCTGTAAACTATATTACCCTCCCAGCCCCACTGCCAATTTTTTTTTGCAGTAATTTTCATTCTATAGGAGCAGGGTAAATTATTTCTGAGACAAAGCAAATTTAAGTGAGAGAAGGCCTTTCATGAATCTTTTAATTCATGCAAGGTGCTCT